TGAAGAGTTGCCTGTGGTTGAACTGGAATGCATTTGGAAGGGTTTGAATTAAGTGCAAAGGTTTGAATTAAGCCCAAAAGGCAGTTTGGCTTCCGACAGAGGCGTAAAAGATAAAAAACCCCAAGGACTGCGGTGGACAGTGCTCTGTTACAGTGAATTATGCAGTGAGCTGAAAGGACACTGGAATAGTCATCAAAGTCCCAAGAGCTGCTCTCTCCAGATGAGCTAATAGAGCAGCTCTGAGCTTAACTGAAATAAGATCTCAAAGTGCTGTAAAATACATTTGCTGTACTTGACCTCTTTCTGAAGTTAGGGCAGTGATACTGCTGACCCTGCTGTCAGCAGCAGCTCCACTTAACTCACTGACATCATCTGCATGAAGATGACCACAAAGTTTCACTTAAAGCACATATGACAAGTTGTAACCGTCGCAAAGATCAATGTAGTTTAGATATTCTAAGGAATCAGAAAGCACTGATCTGAAATCTATGAAATCATGCCTTGGGCTTTCAAATATCTCCCTTCAAATAACACTCAGAAGGAAGGAGTCATTGTGCGGTGCTGTTTCATTAACAGGCTTACATGGTATGTGATAGTAAAAGCAGCGAGCCTTGAGAAGAAAGACCTTGGAGGCCCCTTCCAGCCATGGGTAAGAGAAAGATGACACTGGAGCTGTGAGAGGCACAGTGCCACAAAGGATCAGCACCTTGTTAATTTGTTCTCTAACTTGACTACGTAGCATAAGTTTTTCAGGTAGAGTGCTAATGTTAATTATTGATTGGATGTAGAAGTGTTGACTCCCACTGGGTGCAATTAATAACACACGTCAAATTGGGAGATAATAAATGTATGTTCTTTGAAAGTGAGTTAGCATGCATCAGATGCTTGGATTTTCAATTATCAAGAACAGATTTATCATCTTTAAAAATTGTTTTCATGATAATCTCTGAGGAGAAAAAGGAATTATACACTTCAGGGTGTATTCTCTTCATTCATTTGAAAGATCAGAGAGATGCAGCACTTAGAAGAAAGTCTGCATAGCTTATGGTGCCTCTGTAGATCTGCTGGACCTTCTCCCACAGGTAAAGCCTCACCCTGAACTGGTACCACCATCTTCCACATCTCTACAGGGGCCCATACCATCTGTGAGAACTGGCTAAGCTGGGGCTGTGAACAGCAGAGTAGGTGTGAGCAGAAACACAAACATGGGCTACAACACGAGGAACCACGAGTTACATCTTCCTTGACAGCTGGAGCTAGAAGAATATGGCCCAGCAAAGCCAAAAGAGTCAGGTTAGCTGGGATGGCAGCAGGAGCTGACTGCAGGAGCACAGGAGTCTTGGCTATTATACTGAGATCTCAGTGTAACTCTGACCCATGAGCATGAATAACAAAAGTCTCATTGATTTCAATTAGAGGAGGCTTGGGTCTATTTACTGTAACTGAGTCAATTCTCAGAAAAATAATTAATTCCTTGTCATGTCTCACGTGTATTGATTTTTGTAATTACAATGAAATTGGAGGCAAGGGAGGGGAGGAGGAAATGCACTTGATTTATGTTTAATTCGATGCACAAGCTGTCAAGGACACAGAAATAGAGATGCAACGACCAGGCTCGTGCTCGATGCACTCCTCTGTGCTTAGATAAGTGCCAGACACATGCTGTGGTGGAGAATCTGAAACCACACACTGCTCCAACATACAGAATTCAGCACTGCAGTGTGAAGAGCTGTCTTTCTACAGCAGCCTCCCCAGCACGTAGAATAGATACCCAAGGGGAAGAAGATAAGGACAGGACAAGCCTAATGTGTATCAATGACTAAGAGGAGGAGACAAAGAATTAGAATAGGGGAGAAAAAAACCGTACAAGCTGTTGCTGGTAATAAGGCTGCCTGTTGATAACGTAAGGAAAGGAAGAGGAGTGAGAGAAAAGAAAACAGATATGGCCTCGCTTGGTAGTGATGCTGTTATGAAAAAGATAGCAGCAGGAGAGCATTTGAACTTTGTTTCCACTGTGCCTTCACTAAAATGGCAAGTTAGAAATGTTTTGACCTAGAGTCAGTCAGTATGACTTGTTAGTTATGTGATCATTTGTGGGGGTGGCTGCCCTGTTTCCACACACACACATAGAGTTGATGATACCACTCAAGTTCTTGTTTCTACAGCATCAGAGATGAGTTTGTCACAAAGATGTCTTCATTACTTACACGTATAGAGTATGATCTTTTGGGTTCATCAAAGCCAAACCTTACACTGACTTCAGCAGGAAGAAGCTGAAGAACTATTTCCATCTTTTTGCCTAAAAGTATCAATTCAGGAAGTCTCCAAGTGTTATATGAGAAAAAAAAGCTTTTTGTTATACAACAGCCCTACAAATGAAAGATGCAAAACAGTCTCACATCCAAACAGTAAGAAGAAATTATATACATGAGGGAAAAGCAAAGTTTAAGGTTTTAAATCAATCCCGAGTTAAATACTTTCATCTAAGCACAAGACATTTTAAACAAGAAGCAAGCCCTTTGCCTCCAGTGCAGGGAACTGATTTGCATCCAGTTTGTGCAGCTTCTAAAAGCTATTGTCTAAAATGTCAGCACTCTGAGGCAAATTTTCTTCTGGTGACCCACACACACTGCAACAGGGGAAGCTGCAAACTGGAACTTCAAAAAGCAAGTAAATCTCAGTGGTGTGGCAGCCTTTTGGCAACACTTTGTGACACGATATTCTTCCTGGCTAGGACAGAGCTCTGTGCACAAAGTTGTAACACAACAAACTGTGAGTCACTAATACATAACCAAACGACAGTGATGGATGATGGCAAATCTGTCTCCAATGGAACTATTCGTAAAAACACTACAAATTCTTTCCCTCTTAATATATGAAACTCTTTGTTTAGGGCTTGAGTTGCTACTGCCAGAAAACCCTTTTAACACAGCTAGCATCAATTTTAGTGGGCATTTGAATACCGAAGCACGAGAGACCAGCCTAGAAATGCTGCTGTTTGCATAAAATCCATTGGTGGTTCTCAGCTGGGAAATCATTTGATCTATTTTATATCATATTCCCTGTCACTGAGGAAGCAAATATGGATATGAAATATGAACATGAGGTAAAACATAAAAAGAGACTTCATAAAATGAGTAATTATGTTTTCCCTAAATCCTCTCACGCCAGCAAGAGGCAAATGCCATCATAAATTCAGCAAAGTCTGCCCATTTCAGTATGTGGGAAAGGAACACAGGGCAGCCAGGCCCTGTGAGGCACACTGCTGCAGAGGGTTTTCTCAGGAGAAATGGAGAGCACTGGCTGAGCAGCACAGATTACCGCAGCGCTCTAACTGATGGCCAGATGCAGGGGAAGACAAGGGATCTGGAGCAGCTCTGTTCCATGACCTAACGCTTGGCACATGGACAGCTGATGGAAGACTCTAAGCTACCAGTCCAGCACAATCTTTCAAACGCAACCCAAATCCTTAGTGACAAATTTCTAGTGCTTTAAGCTAATAAAATCAAGATAAAGAGGAGGGAGGACACAGACACAGAGAAGTAACCAAGTGCCCAAGGATTTGTGAAAACCCACTGTTGGAAGTACTAGAGGTTATTCTTTGAAATTTTAAATTCCAGCACTTAAATTCCAGTTGTTTTAGTTCACATGCCTGAGAAACTCATGAAGCTACAGCACCAAATATAAAACCATAATATTATCTATAGTCTTTACACTCAGATGCCCATGACACTGACAAGTTCCAGCTTATTGATAAACAGGATTTCAAAAAGGTAAGCAGAAAACCAGAATCGCTGCCATTTTTTATGTTGCCAGAGCTATTCAGACCTTAGCCTAGTTTATTCTCTAGGTATGTCACAGAAATGACATGACAACACTGATTAGCTCACACCCAATGCTAGAATTCAAGCTGTAATACAAGCACGGAAACATTTGGACTGTGGACACAGACAAGAAATGAAAAGTGAAGCCTAGAACACACACTGGAACAAGTGCAGAAAAAAGAAAACAGACAGGACACAATGGGCTGTGAAGAATCATACTTGGATAAGAACTCTGCTGAAAAGAAGTCTCCCTCTGTACAGAAGTCTGATTATACAGTTACCAAGGTGTTCCTACAGGAAAATTGAGAACAAGTGGAGGACTCCGAACCTTCTCCACTAAATTCAATAGCAGATCAAAACCAGTACTTCAGAATGCTGCATGCAGATGCAGTGCACAACATCAAACAGAGGAAATCCAGCAAGCAGTGTAGAATATTAAGCACTAGTATCATGAAAACGCTCATTGTTTTCCACGGAAATACATCCTCATCAATTATCACAAATAGCTGCGGCAAGCATGCTAAAAAGATATCTCTTTTTCTTTTCAATGTAAACTGTGTTTTGGATTTGTGCTGCCAAAGCACAATGAAGGGCACACTCTGCTGGTCAGAAGCACCATGTACACCGAAAGCTTTGTAACAATACGAGTACTAAAAACCAAACCCCACTGTATGACATCTGGACTTGAAGTGGTGCTCCATACTAGGCTGCTACTTGACTTCTTTCCATCCTGAATATTAGACAGTGGCTATGATGCTGTGAATGGACTTTCTCATGCTTAAACATCAGCCTACCTGCTGTGAGAACACTTTCTTTCCTGAAGGACATTTTTTAGCAGTACAACGTATGTTCAAAAACTCTTTACCTTAGGCTTTTCATCCAGTATTTGCTGACGGATCTCCTTGTGTTTTTCTACAAGTTTCTCCTGTCTTTTACTCTGAGCATCTTCTAACTGTAAGAAAAGAGCAGAAAATCTTATTTTCAGAAACCTTCCCACTTCTTCCCCAACAAGTATTTCATCCATCAAAATTATAACATTATCATCAAAATTATGAATAATTCTTATATAAACTTCTAAACCATTGTCACAAGCAGCCCTGAGCACAACAGCTCTGATGGTTGTGTGTGGACAATGTGTCTCGGGTGTCACACATGGGATTTAGAATCAGAAGTGTCTCAAGGGCTTACTGTAGGTTTGCAATGCCACTAAAAGCATAAAGCATTTTAAAAATCCTATTGTTTTGCTTTAGTTTTTACTGTACAAGCTGTGTGAGATGGTCCCTCTTCCCAAAAGAAGAGGATTTGTATCCTAGAGTCCTCAATGAACACGCTGATGAATCTGGGGCCTCATTTAACAAAGCACTCAGACACATGTCTGACTCCAGCAGGAACGAAGGATACTTCATTTGCTAACTCTTTGGGTTGCTTCCCGAATCAAGGCCTCTGTGACCAAAAAATGGGCCAACTTTTGAACTGAACTCTCTCTGTACTGAAATGAAGACAAAATTCAATAGTGGCATATGTTTCATAGGGATTTCACACATCAGAACTCTGCAGGGCACAACCTTCAGCACAGCATAAACCACCTACAGCTTCAGAAAAGCTAACACCTTTAATGAGCTTCTTTGACTTGCATTTACTCATAGAACTCACAGAATGCTTTCTGCATTTCAGTAACTGTGCAAATGTAATTATGCTGAAGCTTAGAATCTGCAGTTTAAAATGACCTAAAATATGAAAGCTGACATTTCACCCCCAAAATGAAAAACTAACATATGGCCTCACATACCCGTTTTATGTACTGCACCACCTCCTGGATATAGGATCGAATCATTTCAGTCTTCTCCCTGGGGAGAAGCACCCAACAAGTTATTGTCAAGAAGATCACACCAATGTATTTTAAACCCTCACAACTCCTCACAGAATACGTAAGGCTATGCTTTGTGCTTTGAATGCAGGGATCTGCCTACTTAACTTTCATCCACTTTCTGAATGTGCCCTTTGTAACAGGCTGCATCTTCATTGTATGAAGGGCTCAGATTCCCCATGACCACAACAAACCCCCTGTTCCTTCACAAGAAGCTTTTCCCATATGGTACTGCCACGTCTTCAAAATGATGGTGTTCCTTAAGGCTCAAATGTGTCCACGCGCTGTCATCAGTTGCTGCACACTGCCACATCGTGGCACATTATATAGTAGAGAAATAGTCTCTGCCAGTGAGCAGAGTCTGCTGGTGGCATCTCAGAGACAACAGCGAAGTTCCCACAAGGAGCAGGGCAGACTTGAATTCAGTCCCCAGCTTTGCTATGTAAACCACATAAAGCTGAACTTGGAGTAAATACTTTAAGTAACTCCGTGAGATTGTTATTAGGTAACCACTGGCCACAAGCTGAAAATGAGATCCCCCAAAGGGATACAGGCAGATGAAATAACAGCTTGTGAAGACCTGAGTTGACCAGATTCAGGACAGAACTCTCAAACCTAATCAACTAAGTCATGAACAGTGAATCGCTCTTCAGGTGGCATTAAAATCTGATGGGTTTAGGTAGCTACACAGTGAGAAAAATTAAGGAAGAACAATTCAAAGTCTTGTCTCTGTGTAATACTTCTTTCCCAAATTTATGCAAAAGTTCTAAACCACCAACAGCCTTAACTGGGTGACTCGAATGGGATTCACCAGCAGGTCCCACTACTCTCTGCTCTGCTGCGACAGGACAGGACAAAGTGTCACTGGGCAGAGGAAGCCGAGTTTCCTATGTGGTTCCCATCTCACCCAAGGGCTCTTGGAAAAGCCTGGTAAAGGAAAGCCCTTGGGAAAATGAGAAAAAAATAAAAGGAAAATAAAAAAGCATTTCTACATGTGTGGTTTTGAGCCTTTCTCATCAGTCCCCCATGAACCTCTCAGCAAGTAATTTCCTACTGCAATTGATTTTTACTGCTCTAACATTTCTGTAATGACTAACTACTTTTTTCTAACATGACTTCCATGTCCTCTGACCAGCTCTAACCAGATGAACTATTTCTCCCTCTTTTTGCATAATCAATATTCTCCCTTTGTTATCTTTTTTCTTAGGATGTTTATTAAAATTCTATAATATCGATTCTTAAACTACTTGATGTGGTTCATTGTGTGTGTGTGTGACTTAGCAGAGTTACCAAATACACAGATGTTGAGAGGCTCCAGAACCTGTATAAACCTCTTTACCTGTAGAAAACCAAACACAGTTGTCTTTGTTACTTGGCAAATCTCAGATATTCTAGATATTTCTCTTTTTTTTTTTTTTGTACCTCCTGTATTTTAAACTATCCTTAACTGGTACTAAAGTGAAGTCTGGTAACAAGAATATCCCAGCAAACAGTGGAAGATTGAAGTGCTCCATTTTCTTTTTGAGCTGCTTGCCAAAACAAGGAAGGAGGACAAACAAACCTGGATACCGTGCCCTTGGGTAGAATATGATCAACTTGCACAACTACAGTTTATATTTTCTGGTGGGGCATAAATGAAATTAATACTCCTGTCCCTGTTCACAGGAACTGCATCCTCAGAGCTCAGCTTTCCTCTCTCTCACACCCAAAGTGATGTCTCACTGAGTAACACTGTCACTGTAGGAGAATCACAGCATCCGAGGGGAACTTATCACCAAAGAAGAGCAAACTTCCAGTGTGTTGCTGCTATTTCTTCTGGAAAGCAGCCTCTTTAAAAGAAGAAAAGATAACCCACAAATAAAAACCTAAGTTAAGGTGAAATCAAACCCTGCAGGAACTGAAGCCACTAAGTCTGTTTATACTTAGAGGACTAGTGTCTGGATTAACAGCATCTTAGAGAATCACTCGGTCATGCCACTCGCAGGCATGTCCCCATACCACTCATCAACACCTTTGTGACCCCCCCAGACTCTCAATGCTCACAGAACAGGAGATTACATTAGTCCCAGGAATTGAATTAGTATCAGCACAAGTACGAAGGACTCCAGTGCTCTGGGGAGGTATTACAGCTGCCTTGTATTTAGGGTTGAGACCTTTCTTCGATTTTCCAGTTGTGAGAAATCCTGCCTCCTTATAACATACAAGGGTATGGATCTAGGGATAGACTTACTCTTCCATTTGATTTTTGTCCTTGGACTTTGCTTCTGTGATCTTCTCCTGCCTCTTCTTGTCCATTTTTTTCTTCAATTCTTTCTTTTCTCTAAAGCATAAAAAAATGAGTAAGTTCAAAATGCATCTAAACAAAACCCACAGGGAGCAGTAATCAATTATAAGGGGAATAGCACCTTACTTTTCACATGTTTCTTTCAGTTTCTTTAGCTGGCTGTTCTGACACTCCTCTGCTACGTCTGTCAACTTCTGAATAAGCTAAAAAAAAGAAAATCCCAAGAAACAAAAAGATGTATTTTCAGTTAAACATCAGACGTGCATCCAAGTTTCCTCTGTAGCAGACATGGAAGTGTTGCAGTGTTCCCTGAGTAATTACAAATGCTCAAATGCCAGTAAACATTTTTATCAGTTTAAATGCTTTCTTAACTTGCGGAGTTCAGCCTGACTTCTGTGTGTCCAACTTACACAGGAACTACTATTTCTCTGGATATTGAGGTGATGCAGTTTCAGAATATTAGAATCATAGCATGGTTTGGTTCGGAAAGGATCTTAAGATGATTCAGTTCCAACCCCCTGCCATGGGCAGGGACACCTCACACTAGACCACGTCACCCAAGGCTCTGTCCAACCTGGCCTTGAACACTGCCAGGGATGGAGCATTTACCACTTCTTTGGGCAGCCTGTGCCAGTGCCTCACCACCCTCACAGTAAAGAACTTCTTCCTTAGATCTAACCTGAACTTCCCCTGTTTCAGTTTGAACCCATCACCCCTTGTCCTGTCACTACAGCCCCTGATGAAGAGTCCCTCCCCAGCATCCTTGTAGCCCCCTTCAGACACTGGAAGACTAAAACCAAAATATATTTTGCAGGTGTTACCTCTGCTAGGAATTCAAATGTCTACATAATTCAAACATGGTCACAAACTGAATTTATGCCATATAAATTACAAACTGAATTCCTGTGTCACTGAGTATTCAAGGTTCTCCGAGAGTGCTGAAAATATTCCTCTTGCATTGAGCATTATTAAATGGACCAGCTTGGATGTCAGCGTGGTCAGGTGGAGATTGAAAATTCATGATAACTGAGAAAGTTGAGCATAGAGAAACGTAGCCTATATTTTGATTACAGAATCGTGGATTCAATAAAATCCAAGTCATTGGTTTGAAATCTGCTGGGTCCAGTCTCATTCCTGCTGAACACACT